CTTTTAAAATGAGGGTCGACTAAGGTGACTTTAAATACTTTTAACTACATCTACTCTAACCAATTATTTCTATTATATTCAACTACATTCTATATACTGAAAGAAATTAATGAATTAACAAGTAATTAATATAATATATCTTAGAATCACAAGGGAATGCGAAGGAAAACAAAACTCATTAAAACTAGACACATGCAGCGGTATTATTGTGTAAACTAAAACAGAAGATTAAACACACATGGACAGACAATACAACAATCTGGATAACAGACATGATGGGACAAACCTGTAATTGGAGCTGTATCCATGGAAACAGCAAATAAATAAATAAATAATAACAAATAGTTTAAACAAATAAAACATTAGTAATATAGAAGGGTATTTTGATTACGAAGGGTGTAGTAAGAAATAGTGAAACAAAAATTAATCTATAAGCGACCTTTGACCCAAACCAGTTTTTATGTGGAACACCATGCAGTGGAGTGAGCATGAGAAATGAAATGCAGTTTATATAGTTAGACTGTGAGGGCGCTGTTTGCCACACACAATTAATTTTAACATGTTCTGATCCCATCAACGATTGCATTATACCGGGGTATGAAATGAAACTAATGACACATGAAATGAAATTTATTACCTCCACAAATGAATTATTATGCATTACAAATTATTAATTAATGAGCATGAAGCCATTGAGAAAAACTTTGAGTTCATTTTTGAGATGCCAAAATTTGCCCTCAAACTGAACTTGGAATGTCCAATTATATTCCCTATATATTTTTCTTGTAGTATAATTGATATATATCCCTCATGGCGATGAATTACAGTATTGAGTAAGACTGTGCCTCAAAGGAAAAATCAACTGACCACATTAGTATAAATGACTTAGTGCTTGTTGATTAATAATATGAATTTAATTCTGTACATTGTTTGACCAGACTCACCTCGCCGGAAAGTTTTTCTACCTGTACCTCGCATGTTGATAACTTGACGCTGGCTGACGTTTGCTGGGTTGCGAATACAACAAATGACAAACTACTGGCCTCCAAATGGCATCGGAATTGTCTGCCATGCAACAAGAAAATACATTAAAATTAGCAATACTGTTCAGTTCATTAACTATGGGACAAAACAATCACTCTGATTGAAATTAGAATTCATCATGACGTATAATTTCATATTTGAATATCTTTTACTAAAAAAAAAAATTCAGATTTATTACATGTGTTGGTGTGTATTTTTGCAGCCCAGTAAAGTGTGTATTGACCATATTTTGGCATTCATTGTTGTTCAAGTACTTTAAAGACACAATATTGGCGAGAATATGTAATTGATAGTAATCATAACATCGCAGAGAAAACAGACAAATTTGCATAACAAAAGTTGAGTTTCACTCACTGCCTATGCACTCACACACTGGATTAATAATTCTCTGCACTCATAGGACAAAAAGTACAGTTTAAACGTAAATTAACTCCCAAGCTGACTCTTTTCATAAAAAAATTTTTAAAGTAAATATCATCGTCATAAATAATTTATTTTTGTAATATTTACCTACATTAACATTATTAATAGTTATTAAAGCTTAAAACAAGCTGAATGTTAAGTTACACTCTGACTGCACTGTAACTCAGTCAGTGATATTTACCAGTATATCTCTGGGTCCAGCATCGCTTCTTACGTTGGTTACTTTCGGTGGTAAACTTCCTGTTTTCACACGGTCAAAGGTCACTTGCACTGAGCTCTGCAATTAAAAAAAGAAACATTAGAATAATTAACTACAAAAGTTTATCAACCAGTGCATCAAAATAAATATGAATTGTATATCTGATATGAAGAACTTTCAAGCACCTTTAATAAGGGAGCCCTCTAGTGACACAAATCAAAACATCTCTTGTTTTAAAACATGTATGAATAAATTACTTTGGTCCAAATCTATTTTCAC